CGAGGCGTTATCCCGGTGCCGGTGATCCTACCGAAGTTGCTGAAAATTTTGGTTGTATCTTGTCAAGAGATGACCCATACCGGATACACCAGAATATATGATTTGCTTAGGTAGCATGCCTACTGATCGGGTATGAAAAAGACCTCCATACATGCATGCCTTCGTGTCATCAGTGCCAGCTCATGAAGGGGAATAATCGAGAAATACTATGACCTCTTATCTCTATTCCAGTGTCCGAGATTGGTGTGTTGTGGTCAACTGACCTGATGGGGCCGTTCCCGTTAACGATACGGGACAATTAATATATAGCCGTGATGAACTAACACTTCATCCACTGGACTGAAGCCGCGACAATTCCGTATCAGTGGGCTAGCACGATAACACATGTGGTGAAGAGGAACGTGATATCAGGCACGTAACTCCGCTGGCCATACTAACGGACCAGGGTCCATACTTTGAAAATGACGAGTTCCGGTCATGCCTGGTGAAACTAGGCATCAAGAATCGGCGACTCACTGCTTACCATCCCCAGACAAATGGCCTGACGGAGAAGAATAATAGGAAAAGTAAAGAATTGTTGGCGGCGAAAGGAGATTGGGAAGAAGCTTTGCCACTGTTCTTGTTAGCTCACCGGGCGTCCAAGCAAACAAACACGAGGCAATCCCCATTTTAGTTCATTTACGATCGCGCGCCTCAATTTCCTGTGGATCGAGAAATGGGAATGTGGCCGACCTGCTAGTTACCGCCGAGGGAAACACGGGACAACGGGAAGGTAGCGAACCGAAACCTGAAGGCAGCCCAGGCGCGGATGATGGGGAAATCCCGGGTCAACATGAAAAATCTTCCGGAAACTTTCTAATCGGTTTGCAGGTAAAGTGCAGAGATAATCAACGCACGACCGCATCTGGCCCATACGAGAGGAAACTCCTCATGAAGTGGAATGACCATTTGACGCAATCGATCACCGATGCTCCGTATACACCATCACTCGACAGGGAGATAGGCAGCGACTTCACGCTAGCGAATTGAGGTAGTGGTACGGGGGAGGAGAAGAAACTACCGTATACATGGGCAGCCCAGAAGGTCGGTGATACTGCGTGCGAGATCGACGGCCACGGAGACTTTGCAGGGGAGGAATGTGGCGCACTACTAACGAGTAGTATGATGCAACGAGCAGGCGCGATGAACTCAACGAATAATGGATCACCGCGGATGACGGGCATTCGTTCTCCAATACATAACTAGTTCGAACCGCGTCACCTTTTCCACAGCCTGACAGGATCATGACTTTACGTGCGTGGATTCCTACAGCTTTGAGCGGACAGGAGCATTAAACGAACGTGAGAAGTTTGAATGGTGCACAACTGAGGTAGTTTTCCATGGGTATGCACTGATTTCAGGAGAAGCCAGATCCGGAGAAAGTCATATCCATAAACGTGGTGCCGCCTCCGATTGATGTGAACAGTCAGCATGCCGAACGGGATGGTGTACTTCCTAAGCCGCTTCTTACCCCGACAAGCTGACCTGATGATTGCTATTCGGGCGAAAGTTGGCAGGGAATGCAGAGCGAGAAAGCGCCTCCAACTGACTAATTGGTTGATCACAGACGCCCCTATCCTGGTTTACTATGATCCATCGCTTCGTCTTGAGACCCAATTTGACAGCGGCCAAGTGGACATCGGTTTTGTGCTAATGCAAAAGGGGATGCCCACTGATTTCCGTAGTCGAACACCGGTTTACCCAAATCGAAAAAGATATGTTTGCGCTGGTTTATGCCGTGGAGCGCTTCAGTGGTTTTACATTCGGCAGCCCGACTACCGTTTTACAGACCATAGGATACTGGTGTCCATAGTCAGTAAACCACTTCATTTCGTTCCATATCGCTGCAACGGAGGCTAATTATCCTCCAGAAGTATCCCCTGGCAATCGTCCAGCAGCCAGTATCAAGGATGCACATTGCCGATACGCAACACTGAGCACATCTACCTGAAGTGAAGGTGAAGCAAGAAGACCCTCATTTCGTCAATGCCCCACAGCTGCTTACATTCACAGAGGAGCGTTTCCAGCAACTGCTGCACGGAAGAAGCGAAAGCATGCTACCACTAACACCTCGTTTCTTTCGTTTTCCCCTGCACATTCTCTCGTCCCCATTTCAGCTAACCCCCTACTTTCTCCAGTCAAAATAAGCACATGAGTGATTACCTGGCTCAATCGTATGTCTTCACTAAAAATGCTAAACATCGTGTCCTGGAACTTGCGCACATTAGTCGACCGGAACTCGAATGAAAGCCCTGAGCAACTCAGTGCATTGGTCGCAATGGAACTTGTGCGGTACAGAAATGACATCGCCGCACTCAGTGAGATTCGACTGGCTGCGCAAGGAAAGCTGCATAAGGCTAGTGCTGGGTAGTTAAACACATCGAGTCGGCTTTGCGCTATGCGCCTGATTAAATGAACAGCTGATGGCAAAGCTGACTAGCACCAGCTTACGGTTGATAACCATACGCCTACGAATTGAAAGAGACAATTTGCTACTGTTCAGCACGTATGGTCCCACCATGTGTTACCCTGATAACAAGAGAGGCACGTGTTACACTGTTATTCTTACTGAGACTGTATATGCCGAGGAGCGACCGGTTGGGTGATTTTAACGTCCGCGATGCGCTTAATGACTTGCCGTGGACACACGTAACCGATCCGGATGGTATTGGCAAAGCCAATGGAAACGGTGACCGGCTGCTCTCATTGTGCGCCACTCACGACTTGAGGATCACCTACTCATAGTTTGTATTGGGTGCAAGTCATATGGCTACATGGACACACTCACCGAATAGTCAGGTACACCAGCTCGACTATGTCATCGTACACCAGCTTGACGCGGGTGAAGTGCGCGTGGCACGTGTACTGTGGGGAGCTGAGTGTGGCACTGGTCATAATTGGGGGTAGACCAAATTGTACATATCTTTTCGTAAAGCTGTGTATTACTTGCCTGCTGTGAAATGGGCCAATTTTAGTGTTCTTTCGCTAGGCACTGCTGAGAAGAGAATGAAATTGGAGAATGTGATGGCCATTCGCATTGGTGACGTGGAATACACCATCTCATTCTGCGACCAGTGGCACCACATCCATGAATAGGTGACAGCTGCTGCCAAAGAAACCTTCGGGTGCGCAAACTGTAAGCTGCCAGATCGGTGTGATGATAACAGTGTGATCACTGGCGCAGTGGTGTCGGAGAAGAATGCAGCATTCGCTGCATATGTCGATGACCATGCCCTGCTGAGAAAGAGAGACAGTTTCGTAAACTTCATTGGTGACTGACTAGAGAGCGCAGTCGCAACAAGAGTGCATGGTGGACGGAGAAGGCGAAATAGATGGGTTGCTAAGCCGAATGCCCCCAACACAAGGAATTCTTCGACTCCTTGAAATCGGTGTACGCACCCACATCACAGCCACTGAGGGAGCTGGTGGATGTTTCAGGCACTGCTTGCACGCATACGCAGGCTGCAGACATAATGCAGATCTGGTGAAAGATCTTCGACTAGCTCTTGAACACCCAGTCAGAGCTTGACTAGACGATATTACATGGGCTGCAACAGTAGGATATGGAGATGTGCCTTGCCGACACACGGACATCCCATGAGACGTAGAGAGCACTTGCTCAGCTAAGCAACGTCCAATACACCGGTTACGATGGGATACCTCCAAAGTGTTGAAATACGGTGGACCCGCGTTGATACATGCGCTGCAGCACTTGGTGCAACGCGCGTGGTTTAAAGAAGTGGTGCCGCTTATGGGGAGGAGCAACACGGAAACACCTCCATATTGGATATAGTCTTTGAGATCGGAATGACCGAGGTCTGCTCCAAAGTGAAACGAGGTCTTTATAGAGATCGCGTATCGCAATCAAACCACACAGCGGGTACTCCAAATTCAAGTTTGAATTCCTCACCACAGTGTCAAGCGTTACTCAATGATCATAGTGGTATAGTGATCAAGGCGTCAACCGCCGACCATTAGGCCCCGAGTTCCACCCCAGCTCGAGCTATCTCCATCTCATGGGTCCAAACCAGGACAAAGCCTTTCTTGTCAGTATTGGGAGGAGCAACATCGAAAAGTCTTTAAGTGTTGGTTGTCTTGAAGGATGCCTTTGTGTTGCCACTGTGCGATGGCAAAGGATGCTGGCAATGTGCCATTAACTATCGCGGTATCAACTCGCTGTTGTGCTGGGATGGTGATCGCTCGAATTCTGCTCAACCGCCTCATCACTCAGGCTATGGAGTCGAAAGTGCAGAAGATTTTAGAGGGTTGCCTATTCCGGGAGCCCAGAGAGCGATTCGAGAAGACGGATCGAGTTGCAGGGAAACTTTTATTGGTACAGTAAATGATCCCCTGTTACCTAGCTATAAATGAACGACACCGTGGACGCTCTAGCCAGGGAAACGGCACAAGCACAGCACACAGGGCAGTTGCGCGTTGCAACCGAAGCGAGCGCCAAGCAAAAATGGCGATGAGCCAGTAAAGCATTCGAACTCAGCAATCAGTTCAACAAACCACACCGGTTGCCTAAGTGTACAATTATAGAATTTTGGTTAGAATTTTACATAAGCAAACCGGGGAATCTCCAGACTGCTACATAGCCCTCTCCCAGAAGGGACTGTGTAAGCAGTCCTTCGATCTACGTGAGGACTGTCCGTCGCCGGCCAGCCTTCTGCGAGACCAGGTTGTGAAACCCGATGCAGCTGCTGGGGGAGAACCATGCAATCGGACCCTAGCGGGCTCCCACCCGTGTCCTCTCTACGGTGTCGAAACGGTAAAAAAAACTGTTTGTGGGGGGACAGTTAGTAAAGTTCACGTAGGCTGTTGAACAGGAAGTTCGTTCCACTTGCAGTTGACGTGCGGGGATCCAGCGAAAGTGAAACCGAGGTGCAACCAACCGACGGTGTATATGGAAAGCAAAATGAAAAAGCAGCATAAATGCATAGCAATACACAAAAGAGTGTAAAGCGAAAAACGTGCAAAGCTGTTTTTGGGTTTTCAAAAAGTTTTGCTCTATTTTGGTAGTTTCAAAACGTTTTGGTCTTTTTTTGTGGATTTTCAAAAACGTTTAGTAAGAGCGAGAAATTTCTAAGGCACGTTCTACGTAAAATAGTAAGTGCTGACAAAGTCTGAAAAACGAACTGGAGGCTTGAGTTTCCTACCGCGTCGATTGAGTGTAGGGCGAGTAGGGGTGCGGTCGGTTGATGTTGTCGGTTCTGCTGGAGCTGACTGACTCGTCTGAGGTTGCGGTGCCAGCTGTGATGGCACAGGCTGTGAAGGTGCTTGTTGCACCGAAGAGTCAGACTTGTCGAGGAATGCTGGCTTGAGTCGATCGATGTTGATCGTCTCAGTGGTGTTGCGTTGTGGCTTGCTTATGTCGCGATCAGCTTGTTGGGAAGCAGCCATAGCGGCTAGATCAATGTTGGTGTCAGGCGATAAGCTGATCTGCTGAATGCGTGAAAGCGCATCCGCGACGGGATTGAGAGCACCTGAGACATGACGTACGTCTGTCGTAAACTGAGAAACGTAGTCTAGGTGTCTAGTTTCCCGCGGTGAATACTTGTCTGTTGCGTCATTGATTGCGTAGATCAATGGCTTGTGGTCGGTGAAGACGGTGAAATGTCGACCTTCGAGGTAGTGACGGAAATGTCGGATACCTAGGTAGATAGCTAACAGTTCCCTACCGAAGGTGCTGTATCGCGATTCGGCAGGTTGTAAGCGCTTTGAGAAGAAACCTAGAGGTATCCATCGATGGTCGATGAGTTGTTGAAGAACTGCACCGACGGCAGTGTCTGATGCGTCAGTTGTCAGGGAGAGTGGTGCAGATGTGTCTGGATGGGCGAGAAGCGCTATGTTGGAGATAGCGTCTTTAAGCTTCTCGAAAGACAATTTAGCGTCGTCTGTAAAGTGAAAAGACCGTTGTTTACGGCGGAGCAAGTCAGTCATTGGTTGAACAATGCTCGCGCAGTTAGGTATAAAGCGTCTGTAATAGTTGACCAGGCCAAGGAATCGGCGTAACTGCTTGAAGGAACTGGGAGCAGGATAGTCCTTCAGTGCCTGGATTTTGTCTGGCAGGGCTTCGATACCAGAGGTAGATATGCGGTGGCCAAGAAAGTCGATGGAACTTTGGCCAAGCTCGCATTTATCGGGGTTGACGGTAACCCCATGCTGCGTCAAGCGTTGGAAGAGTGCGTCGAGGTGACGAAGATGTTCGTCATTAGAAGAGCTGGCGATAAGAATGTCATCTAGATAAGGATAAACGCCTTCGAGTCCTCGCGTTACCTCATGAATGAAACGCTGAAAAGTTTGGGCAGCGTTGCTGAGGCCGAAAGGCATTCTGAGGTACTCGAATAGGCCGAATGGCGTAATGACTGCAGTTTTAGCAATGTCGTCTGGCGCCACAGGTATCTGATGGTAGGCGCGAACTAAGTCGACTTTGCTGAAGATAGACTTGCCAGCTAGAGCTGAGGTCAAGTCGTGCATGTGCTGGATAGGGTATTTATCCGGGATGGTAACTTTGTTAAGTGCCCTGTAGTCACCACAGGGGCGCCAGTCACCGGATTTCTTAGGCACCATGTGTAATGGTGATGCCCATGGACTTTTAGACGGGCGGATGATTCCCAGTTCGAGCATTTGCTCGAATTCCGCCTTAGCAGCTTTGAGCTTGTCCGGGGCTAGTCGGCGAGGGCGGGCCGAAACAGGTGGGCCCTTAGTGCAAATGTAGTGCATGACGTTTGACGTCACAGGAGGTAAGTCGTTCAGGACGCGAACGAGTTTAGGGTGCTTGCTGAAAAGCTCTAAAAGGCTGTGAAGCTTGAGGTAGGACACGAATGGGAGTGATAGCAGCCACGTTGGCGCTAGTCCCGATAACACTGAGCTGTGTCCTAGAGTCAATAAGCTTCTTCCTTTTAGCGTCGACGATGAGATCGAAGCGTTGAAGAAAGTCTATGCCTATGATGGCGAAAGGCACAGCAGCGATTATGAAAGGCCAGCGAAAGGTTCGCCGGAGGCCTAGGTTGAGCGTTAGCAGCTTTGCGCCGAAAGTTGCGATTGGTGTGCCATTGGCGGCACGCAGCTTGGTCGGCGATGGTGAGACGACCTCATTTGGGCTACGGGGTATAACACTAACTTCGGCACCAGTGTCGACTAGAAAGTCGGTGCCGGAAGTTAAATCCCTGACACGGATGAGGCGACTTTGGTGTTGGCCAGCCGCGTCCGTCGCCGTTACGGACCGGCCGCGAAGTTTTCCCTGCTTCTCGGCAAAGGTGCAAGGTTTGACACATTTACGAGCTGCGGTACCAAAGCACTGATGGTACCAACAGCTAACTTGCCTGTTGCTAGACTGAGAAGGTTTGCAGGGCGATTTTGAGCGGCTAGGACGACGACGGGTCATAGTAAGCTGTTGAACTTGGCGACTAAGTGTCGCAACTTGTGCTTGCAGGGCTTCTATAGTTGACTGTAAGCCAGCGATAGAAGTGCCCTGGGACGCGACGGCATTCATCTTGCTGGCGTCGACTTGTGGCTGTGATCGTTCAATAACTCGATCCGCTAAATCTGCTAGTTGAGTGCGCGAAACGGAGCTCACTGTAGCGAGAATCGCTTGCGTGTTTTCAGGTAGCCGTTGTAGCCATAGTTCGCGAAGTAAAGTCTCGTCCATGGTTGAGGGACCAAGAAGTTGCTGCATCTCCCGTAGCAGAGTTGAGGGCAGTTTGTCGCCCAGCTGCAGATCCCTGAAAAGCTGCTGCAGGCGAACTTTCTCAGAGGGCATAACACGCTTAATCGTGGCCTCCTTGAGAGCCTCATAGCGGTTTTCGGTCTGAGAAATGATAACGTCACGAACCTGCGTTGATATCTCCTTGGGGAGATAGGACAGGAGCTTGCAATACTTCGCGTAGTCAGAAGTGATTCTGTGGTTATAAAACTCAGCCTCAAGATGAGCGAACCACAAAAGAGGATCCATGTCCCAAAAAGATGGTACCGAACGTGAGATACAACGCTAAGCAGAGACTCTACCTTATGGTATACAGATTCCATGGCTTGAAAAAAATGACACGGAAAGTAGGTTACCGTATGCAAAAATAAAACCGAAAAATATGAAAAATAAATGGAACGAGCTCACCGGAGAAAAGTTCGAAATATCCGGCGTTGAGATTGTTCCGGATCCGGGG